ACTATAATAATACTTTTCTATATTACAAATGAACACAATTAAATAAGAAATATGATAAATCATTTTGATCTATGCGTAATACTCAATTATTTTGTGTTTGGTACTAAAATAATGCATAGTTGACAGGGTAAAAAAAGTTCACTGAACATTGTATCATAAGGCACCTAATATCTTGCATTTACAATGGAATATTAATAATTCCATGATATTGTGATAGGAGAGGAATATGTTCATTATAAGATATTCATGAATCATGATATCTATAATCATGTAATTGGTAATAATAATTACATTTTATCGTATTAACCACTCCACTCTCATTAGGCATTATTACACTGTTACGGAGAATTGTCAATACTGAAAATCAAATTTCATGCTGCAAATTAAAATCTTAATACAGGCAAGGATAAAAATATTTTCGTACACGAGCTCGTGAAATATCGGCAATTTATTAGGATCAAAAGAACTTTAGCATATCCAAATTTTAAAATCTTTGAAGAATTCATTAAGTCACGATTGCCGTCGAGAGTGTAATTGAATATTATGTACAAATGATTATTTCTTATTGTAATACATTACATAGTTTTGCTTGATTCTCTGTATATACGTCAGTCTTGGATTGCTTTTGCCAAAAACATTTCATTGCCTCTGTGTATAGAGAGCTATCATGAATTTATGTGGGAAAAGGATGCAAAAATACAGTTACATAACTAAATTCTTCTTGCAAAAGCACTGTCGGTGATGAAGAATTATTTTTGTAATTAGTGAGATACCTAGAAAATGATTAACTCAGACCATCGTTCTGTATGTTTAATTTACTGATTTAAAATCTGCATTTATTATTTGACATATTAGCATCGCGTGAATCAAAGTCATGAGTCAAGTGTACATATATGATATTATTAGTCATCAACTATGTAAAAAATAAAAAAGGCACATATAGAAAGATTTGCTTTCTAAACCTTACTCACCGGTTATCTATCATTTGCTTAAAATGTTACCAATGTGGGTTTACCCTTTTTCCACACATGTGCTCTCTACACATGTACTCATCAATTACCCAGGTCTATTGTGATTTCATGTGATGACAAAGAAGTTGTAAAACGCTATATCTACTTAAAAAATGTTTGCCTGTTTGATTTTGCATTTCAACATTTAAGACTGCATATACATTAAATAGAAATGAATTCAAATTAATATAGAGGTTTTGTGTTCCCTTTTCACCTTATATATCATTTGCCTTCTATGCTTTTTTCATTGTCTTCCATTTCAGTCTCTTAAACCACTACTTTCTCTTTATACCATACATTCCTCAGTATTTGAGACAATGGTATCATTGACAATAATAGTAATAATTATTATAATATAATAATAATATTAATAATAATAATACAATAATAATTCTGAGAGTAAATCTCAATAACAATAATACAAATAATAGCAATAATAATATTAATAATACACGTTAAAAACGTATGTACAATTTACCGACCCAGTTTTAAGTATTCGCAAGATTTCTCTACAAGTACTACAGACAAAGTGGAATAAGTTGCTTTTAAATAATTACTTTTTACAAAATTACATTATAAAGTGGCAGATTGAAAAATCTGAGCGAGTTATCTATTTATTTAACTAACTATCTATCGATCTATCTCTCTATCTATCCACATGTACAGCTGCTAGAATTAGGTAAACGCGATGGCTTTATTACAGCTAGACTACTGGAAAGTATACATGTTTTTATATTATGAATAGTTATTGCCATTGCAGAACAAAACTTTGGAGAAAAATGTAGAATTGCATAATCCAGTTAGTCTGTTTTAATTTATATATAAATGAAATTAAGGCTGCACGATTTTTTTGTACAAATAATTTAGCAACAATTTGCATGAGTTTAGATATGCATTACCGAAAAAACAATGTTGCATTCTTAATGTCAAACATAGTTCATATATTATTCACATTAACCACAAAAATCACCAAAATGAATGTATAGTCCTTTTAAAATTTTTCAAAACGAACAATTAGCTTGATGTTCACCATTAACTTCACTTGTTTAACATACTTTATTAAAGGAGGGTCACGAGCCTAAAATGCTGCGGACTGCTTGGTCAAGCACTGTGTCCTTTGATTCACTGGACTGTGATGCACTGTTACCACTACTGCCAGGTAATGTGTTTGTAGGACGTTTTTTAAGATTAAGAATGCTATCAATAGCAGATTGTACCTGTGCGGTAATATCATCATGTTCATTACCGTTCCCACTTTCATTAGTTATGTGAAGAGAGCCTGGACATTGTGTTTGAGAATGTAAAGCCAGACCATCTAAGCTGTCAGTGTCTTCTAGTAGATCCCGTTCAAGGTCTGTAGCGCTACTCCAACGTCTCTCAAAAACAGGTGTATTATCTTGTTCACAACTGTCTTTTACAACTGTGTTTTGAATTCCAGAAACACTCGCACTTGATACATTCGCACGACATTCACCGTTCGCTCGTGTTCTTTCAGCTTTCGACGATTTTGTTACAGCCACAGCACATGCACTATTACTACTACTATTATTACTATTTTTACATTTGAACGAGTCTGTGGTAGATGGATATACACCGAGTTCCTTTTGAATTTCTACCCACTCGTCGTAATCACCACTAGTACAACTTGCTGATTTAATCACTGGTTTACATTCGATTTCGTCACTTGGAAAGTCATCTTCTAATTCACGTTTTACAGAAACGTTAGTTAATGGTGATGATAATTTGTCTTCTTCTGTAAGACCAGGTTCAACCTTTGGCACCAATGGCTTTTCTTCCTTTTTAAATTCTTCTAGAAACCATAATGAAACAATTATTATTGAAAAAAGTATTAGGCATCTTCCTCTTGATACATAAAATTATGGAATAACATACCATTAACTTTAGCCTCTTGTTCTCGTAACCTATTTAATATACTCTGTTCTTCAGCAACAAAAGTTCTATCAATCATCATAAGTTCTGATGTTCTCACTTCTCGCTGTAATATTATTTCAATTACAGAATATATTTCATATAATCTAATTTATAAATATTATAAGATACACAGAATAAATTTCCTTGAAATAAGAAATCTGTAACATACCATGCTTTCCATTAAAAGAAGGTACGTGTATTTGTTCATCATAGAGTTGAATTTTGTTAACAGATGTTTTGCTGTTTCTTCAAATATTTCATCAGCTTTCGCTAAATCCTTCGGACTAAGTACTTGTTCATTTAAACAATGATACCTTACAAGACGTTTACAAGCATCCCGCTTGCTTAAAAATGGTGTGTTGACATCTGGATTGATCGCACCGTTTTGATCCATTTTTAACTGTTGCTCTAACCTATAATAATAATTATACGAACATATTTTTAGGTATAACAAATACATTAAATTGTTTGTAAAAATGGGTTACAATAAGAAAACTAGACTTACAAGTCACTACGATTAATTTGTCTGCAAATTGGGCTAGATGCAGGTCTTTTTACACCTTGTCTAGGACTCACTAAAGGACTTGAATTACTGTTAGGACTGACAATCTGTTTGTTCGAATTGCTATTAGTGTTTACTGGACTTTGAATCCTTTGTGGCCCTTTGCCAATCATTCTAGGCGAGGCTACCTGTCCTGCAGGAGAGCCACTTTGAACTTGTACTTGAATAGGTGAAGATAGTTCTTGTTTAATAGGACTTGATATTTGTATGTTTGGTTTAATATCTAATGGATCAGTTTGACATTGCGTTGATTGCTGCATTCCTGTTGGTTGTGTTTGAACTGGAGCTAATTGTTGTGCGTTGGTCTGCACAGTAGCTACAGATGTTATTGGTGGTGAGAAAATTTGCATATTGGCAGAGGACGGACTCAATATCTGGTTTCCATGATTTTGATAAGTTTTGTGCTGTTTCGTGTGCGCTTGATGCACATTCTGACTGTTTTGTATACAGTGTTGTCCTTGCACAACTTGTGGTACCTGCAAGTATTCATATTATCATAGAGCATAAACGACTAATAATTATATGTGTACATGTTAAAAATAACACATTAGGATATTTCGTTACTTACAGTAAGATTATTCATATAACTATTACTTGTGTTACTTTGCACAGTTGTTGGTATGCTTGGATTTAAATTTTGCGATGTTACTACAGTTGTAGATGTGTGTGTTTGAGTTTGTACTGCCGATGTCTGATTTTTAAAAGAATTTTGCGGTGTTATGGTAGATGCTATTGTTGGGACTGCATTTACATTGAAACTTGCTTCCGAACCCTATTTAGAACAGTATTAATATCATCATTATTATTATTATTAATTACAGTTATAACAAAATTTATAATGTAGATTTTATATAAAAACTTACACTGCTAACGGAATGTGTCGTAGTGCTAACAACTTTTCCACTTGCTAAAATTTTCGCTTGTTCTTGATATAATTTTGTTAAAACCGATTGATCCGGTTGTGCACCCGATTTACGAGCTAATATAGCTTGTATTTGAGATTGTATAGTTTTCAACATTTGCTGTTTTTGAGCAGGAAGTTGAATGGTCTGCACTCTTTGAACCATTTGACCATTTGAGGGAACAGATAAGTGACTTCCAGGAGATGGTGGAAGTACAGGACCATTTGTGACAATTTGAGTAGACTCACTCTTAATCAGATTTGTACTTTGAGATACCACAGCATTTGTTTTACTAGAATTATCAACTTTATGAAGGTTTGTTGTATTCGTTGATATCATTGTTGGGCGGGAAACCGTAACAGTTTTTGTTACCTAATATTACAAATATTACATTTAGGAACAAATCATTATGTAAGAACGAGTATAAATACATTAGTAAAATATGAAAATAAAATTTTTCAACATACTTGAACATTTCCAGTGTTTTGCGTAGTAACAGCAGTTTTTGTTCTTTTAACAATTTTCGCCTTCTTTGGTTGACTTGTTTGTCCTATATTTCTTATTTGTTGTTGATTTAGATTGTCAATAAATTGACTTGGAAATCCGGAATTTTGGATCTGTATATGTTGCGGCATTTGCGAAGGCGCAGCTTGTACTACAATATTCTGTATATTATTTTGAATAGTAGGAGCTCCACCAGAACTATTTACAATTATTTGACTCGTCGGTGTATTGATTTGTACACCTTGTAAATTCGGACCATTTGCATCTGGTTCACCAATTACTATTTTTTGAGTTTGGTTTTGATTTTGCACCTGGTTGGTCGCGTTTAATTGCCCAGCCAAAAATTGTTGCAACAGTTGTTGACTTATTACTTGCATCTGCCCATTCGCATTTGCAATTAATAGTTGATCATTGGGATTCAAATTGCTCAATGCATTCAAAATTTCAGGTGTAATTTTTGGCGCGTTGTTTAATATATTGTTCGCTGCTGAATTAAGCATTGTTGTACTCTGAGTTTCTACTTTTTGAGATTCATTTTGTTGGACAGTATTAGAAGAAGCAGGAGCGTTTGTTATAACAATATTTTGATGTTGACTATTTTGTTGTGTATTTAGTCCTTGCTGCTGCATGGTGTTAGCTGCATTTTGACTTTCAAAATGTTGTGCATTAACAGAAGAAAACGTATTAGCTTGTGCAACAACTTTCTGTTGTTGCATGTTTACATTCTGTTGTACACTTGTATTGTGCAAAATAGCAGATGTATTTTGTTGTTGCATACTGGTGATAACATTTTGTTGCGCTTGAGCTATATCACTAATTCCAGATTGTAAATTTTGCTCAATATTTTGTACATTACCGGCTGCATTTTGCTGAAGCACGTTAATTGTATTCTGTTGAATACTAGAATGTTGTAAAACATTCATGGTATCGTGTTGCATAGTATTACAGGAGCTTTGTTGCTGCAACATATTTACAGAATTATGTTGAACATTTGATCCAGATGTTTGAAGATTTTGTTCAAAAACATGTTGAACGTTTTGTGTTTGCACAGTCTGCGCTGTTATCTGTTGATGTTGATTATGCTGAAACATTGGTGTTTCTTGTTGCAATGTGATACTATCTTGTTGGTTCCCTTGCTGAAGATTCTGATTATTTTTTGCAATAGTGTGTTCATTTTGTACAATTAAACTATTTGGCAATGACTTTTGAACATGCGCACTACTTTGTGATATTTTATTTAGATTTTGTCGTACATTAGTAGTTACGCAGGCATTCGTGAGCCGCACTTGACTAGATTTTTGTGTAGAAACATTAGAATTTTGTTGATTAGTATTTGCTTGGTTCGGATTAGTCAATCGAGAACTTTGCACACTGAATGTGGTACACGGCGGTTTCGGTACTAGAACATCAGAAGTCGTCAAAACATTATTGTTGGATTGTACGAGGCTAGAGTTAGATGACGGAGTCGTTTTTGATGCTGGTATAAGATTTTGTACGGTAATGTTTTTCGAAGGCTGCATATCCAATGTTTGCAAAGACCCAAGATTACTTTGGACACAAACGTTTAACACAGGATTGGATTCTTGAGGAACATTTACACTTTTTTGCTGATTACTTGGTTTCGAGCATACTTGCACATGTTGTGGACTAGTAGCACAAGTAACACTTTGAGGGCCTGTAGGACTTACAGTAGTAGTAACTGTTGTAACACTGGATGATAGAGGAGACTTAACAAATTTCTGCCTCTGTAATACAGTACTTTGTGTAGTCTGCGTTGTTGTTTGTGCCTGTCCAAGAAGCTGCGAAATAATAGGCGAATTTTGACCACCTCCGTGCGTTAACGATCGTAGTAATGCTTGAGCGGTCGCCTGATCTATTTCTGGTTGATTTGGTTCCGGAGTTCGATGTAAAACAACTCTTCCATCTTCCCCAAGAGCAAATCGTAATTGACCCTGTATTGTGCTCTGTACAGGCATCTGAAGCTGGGCAACAAGTTGACTATTAAGTGTCTGAGACACAGAAGTTTGTGTATTCGTTGTATTTGGTACAGGTACTTGTATCAGATTCTGAGCAGAACTAGTAGGTATAGTCACTTGAGATGGGAGTTGTCCTAGATTTTGTCCTGAACTTGATTCAACTTGACCTTGACAAGAAACTTCAGATTCAGTTGTAAGATCAGTATCAAAAATATCATCATCATCTCCTATCCCGGATATTTTCATTATACTAGCAAGATCTAATTTCGGTGGTTCATCATCCTTTCGTTTCGCTTTCTTTTTCTTCTTCGCTTTCTTTTTAGGTGGTGGTAGCAAACTCTGTTCAACAACAGTTTGTGTACATGTAGTACTGCCGGTATTAGTACCTGATCCAACTTGCGAAATCTGTGGTTGAGGACTTTGTACCATTGCATTTTGAATCACTATAGAGTTGCCAGTTCCAGAATTCGCAGCTGAATGAAAAAAACGATTTCAGAATTTGAATTAGCACTTCCGAGAAATATATTGAAATAAAATTATACAACTTACAAGGTGCAGGACTTGACGGAGTATGTCTAATTACTGGAGAAGCGGCTGGAGGAAATCCATTAGGCACAGCGAAAAATGTAGGAGTAATACCTTGTAATTGCATTCCTTGTGCCGTGACAACTCTTACTAACTGCTGCTGTGTTAACTGTAAAAGAATAGGTTTTATATAATGAATAAATATATTTTACAAGATAACATTCTTTCTCTGATTTTCCTTATCGAATTTGTGACCGTTGCATATGATTTATTTTTAATAACTTATTCGAAGAATTAAATAAATCAATAAGAACCATGAAATGCGTACAAAATCTTATGATAATTGATACCATGTGAAAAAATGACAGATGATTTTAAGTAACATTTGAAGTGATATATAAAGAAACTTTTATGTAAGTATTAAGTAAGCAATGATAGAATATGATGAAATTGTTTGGCTGCATGGATGAAACCATCACCTGTGCAGTATGTGTTTGTTGCTGGGCACTTGCTGGCGTTCTTAGTATAAGTTGAACACCACCTGGTTGCTGTTGTACAATAACGGGCCCCGTTGACGGCAAAACCTATGTATGAAATGTGATAAACATATGAAGCACAAAGCAGATATTTGTGACACTAAAAATGCAAATAAGCCGTTATAATAGAAATCAAGCATATTAAAAGTATTTTATACTGGTAAGTGCTAGAACAGGCACAACATGTATTCTTTTAAATGATCTCATAATGAACAAGCATGCAAATGACGGAAACCTTAAACATATGCGTAGAATTATATACCTGATTTAAAAGGAGGCCTTGTGCTGTAGGTATCATTGTAGCTGCTGTAGGATTTGGTTGTGGTCCAGCAAGGACTAATTGTGGCTGAGTTTGCTGAGTGACCTTATAATTATTTAATAATTGAATTAAAACTGAATTCTTGAAATATTATGTTTAAAATAGTTATAGTTTAATAAAATACGTTACTTGATTCGTAATAGTAGTGGTAACACGTTGTTGTTTTTGCTGTGATCCAGCTGTTTGCTGATTAGGAGGTTTTGGTAAAATTTGTGGAGGTTGCTTAGCAGGCTTAGTTGTTGCTATTTGAATTTGTTGATTTCCAAAGAGATGCGTTCTAGTTACGAGCTGTGTTGGTGTTGATTGATACCCCTGTGGTGTACCATGAATTATTTGCAATACTTGCATACCTTGTTGCAGTATGGGTGTATTAGATCTAACCTGAAAGTAAAAAATAATATTATGAAATCTGTAAATGAACACAGAATCTGTAAAAACACAGAAAATTTATACACCATGAATAAAATAATTTCTTACCACAGGTGGACCAGGACTACCGCCAGGTGCCGGACTTCTGTTGTTTAGAGAGTTATTTCCACTTAATAGATGAGGACTTTTTGCAGGAGGATATGGACTAAGTACAGGACTTTGAATTTGGCTAACACTCATTGGACTCTGCATTGGACTTTGCATTTGTATATTAAAATTATTATTTGAAGTTGATGTCCCAACAGGACTAGGGCTATTCCGGTTCGATTGTATCGAATTCGAAGCTGGACTTCTAAGTAATAGCCTGTTAGGACTAGGGCTTGGTGTGGGAGGTGCGATATTAGACGCCGGACTTTTCAATGGTATCGAAAATGGGCTACTTGGAGAACTAATATTTTGACTTTGAATGTTTTGCATAGATTTTACGGTATTTATTGTACTGACCACATTTGATGGCTGAGACGAGCCCGTTAATGTTACTGACGAACTTAAACCAGGGTTAATTCCCTGTGAATACTGTCGCTGAGGTTGAAATCCAGTTGATTGAGAGGAACTTAAGGAAGATGTATGACTCAGTGACATATTCGGCTCGTTTGATGCAGATATATGCTGTACATTAGACGTTGATACATTAGATATATTTGAGTGCATTGTACCAAGATGTGGAATATTAGTAGTGAGATTCACATTTGAAGCGTGATTCACATTTGCTGTGGTTGAATGATTTGGTTCGTTGGAAGTGCTCGTAAATATACTGGAACTGGTTAGAGTACCAGCATTTGATATTTGTGAAATTGTAGAAACGTTTGAATTTGGGTGTTGAGATATGGCAGAACTTGGTACGTGTGCAATATTCGATCCAACAATGTGTGGTGCAATACTTTGTATACTCTGTATGGTTTGGAATGGAAATTGCGTACTGTTAGAATTCAGACTAGTTTGAGTCAATCCAGTTGTTAAAGCATTAACAGGTCGATTCAGACCTTGATTTACACCAGAATTTATACTGGTTGTTGTCAAATTTGCATTTATGTTTGGATTAATAGTAGTTAAACCAGACACACCAGAACTTGGAGATGTGAAGTTTGTGCTTAAACTGGTAAGATTCTGGTTTACGTTTGAGTTTAAACTTGTCAAATTCGGATTTACGTTAGTAATTCCAGTGTTAACATTCGATAATCCAGAGTTTAAACTCGTCGAATTTAACGTATTAAGTCTATTAATTCCAGTATTTATATTATTTAAATCCTGTCCCAAACCAGATAAACCATTACTAATACTGTTTGAACCAATATTCGAAGTTAAGTTGGAGTTTATAGCATTCAAGTGATTCAGGCTAGGATTTATCGTAGGTAGTCCTGTATTTATGCTTGGCAGGCCCAAATTGAGCAGAGGATTTGACGTTGTGATAACATTAGATGTGAGGGATGTAAGACTGGTATTTAGAAGTGATAGTGGCAATCCCATATTAAGGCCCACCCCAAAAGTGGGGGTGGCCGGGGGTAGGCCCATACCAGTCCCCGAGGGATTTATGGTACCCTGATTTAAATGATTTAGTTGGTTTACATATACTATGTGATTTCCAGTCGTGGATCCATTTCCTTGGTCTTGTGGCTGCAATACAAACATTTATAATAGAATTAATTACTTAGTTTCTTTCACAATAAACAATTCAAGAAATTCTTTCTTTATGATTTTGAGTAAAAATACTTACATTATTTGATGTTTGTTGCAAAGCAAATGTCAGAGATTGACCACTCGAGTTCTGGGCCTGTAATTGTTGTAATTGTTGCAACTAAAAATCAAAATACAATTTATAATATAACACGATAATAATAACATATATATTGCCTTTATATTTGAAAACAACATACTTGTTGATGCGTTAAAACAGCAACAGGATTGTTACGCCGAGCAGTCGGGGAAGTTGTAGAGGATACTGAGTCCCCGAGAAGAGGGCGTGACTGAGGCTGCTGCATGCCCACGCAGCCCCTCTTTACTCTGGGCAGCGTCTAGCCACCTTTTCAGTTTATCTAGGCTTACTTCTAAGTACTCCTATATACATTTGTAATACACATTGCAAATTACCAACTGAAATAGAAGATGTAATATATATAGATAAATTTTAATACATAAAAATGTAAAGTATACAGATATAAAATCATAAACCAAAATTATCTTAAAGCTTTTGTAAACATAAAACCTTAATTCTTAATTTCAAGTACTAGATGACTGTTAACTTCTACTAATTTTTACTAATATTGGGCTATATGAGAATTACTCACCAATGGTTACTAAGTTCAGTGACAGGGAAAGATTAGATTTGCGCTACGGCGCCACTCAACGCGTCTGCGACCTACGTCTCCTATTCCTGTCATCCATATAACTTCGTATTTCACACGTTATTTAGGCAGCACTTTCTTATCACTTTAAAATATTTGTGTTTATATATGTTGTTGATATTTGTGTTTAATATCATACTGTAGTGCTAACCATAGTTGGATATTAATTTGTTTTGCGTAATAGGTAGTTCTTTTTCGAACTACATTATCCATTAAAGAATAACTGCACAATTGCATTTTGAAAGTACTCTGACTTATCTTTAAAGAACATTTGTTGCAGGATCACATCCATGTATAAACACAATTGAACTACATTTTTCCATGACATTACATTTGAAATTGTGCATATAAAACAATTTTGGATGTCACTTTCTAAATGTATGTCCTTTGTATTATCCCAACTCTAAGTAATATTCGGCAGACATTATTTAGCAGTTTATAAACATTTAGGACACTAATATCAAGACATTTTACGATCAAACCATTAATTATGATTTAGAATTCATTCACATTCCAGTTTTGTTTAAAAGTGTCACATACACTAAACACTTATGGCTTCTTGGGATCAGCACTCAATTTGTGTTCTGCAACATGTAAACAATATTCAATTACTCATTAATAATACATGAATACATAGGAAATATGTCACTCAAACTATAATTTTTGCTTTTAATTTACAGGAAATCATTAATATGTTGATTAGTAAAGCTTTTACTGTCAAACGATGTGGATGTTATTATTGAGAAATTGTGTTATGTGTTATGGAATGGAAATCAACACACTGTTGTACTACACTCACACTTACAGGTACAAATAATCATTTTATAGCGGGAAAAAAGTTCTGAATAAAAATTCGACAGCTGGAAACACTTTTTGAGGTTATAACTTGCATGCTTGTGTGCAAGCATACGTGCCACACAAGCCACTTACACGCATACAAGAATCGCATACATCTCACTCTCACTTATGGGTACCAGCGGCGCGCGGATGCACACAACAAAAGCCCAACTGACAAGGCGTAAACAAAAGAAAAAGCAACCATCTGTAAAAAAATTTTCGGTTCGTATAGCTCAGAAACTCGAAGAAGTTATCCTGGATGCGTGTATTTCATATTGACGCGGAAAAATGAGAGTAGCGTCGTGATGAAAAATTGTCAATATTACCTCCGCGAACGCGGTTTTGCCACCCGTGTTTTCTTCTTACAATTTTTCGTTTTTTCACACTTCTTTCGGCATGATTTTAGTTCTGTACACAACCTTTTATTCCTTCGCGAACAAAAACAACATATATGAACAACACGAGAGGAAAAATTCTACTTAAAATAATAAACTTTTCTGGCACACGACAGTTCCATGTACGCGTTACACTATTCGGTGGCAACGGCCATCATGTATTTGTCAAGGCTGCCATTAGCACAAGTCTATAAAATCCCAGTGCTTTTACCATTGGCGACACCTCGGTTATGGCACTGTAACTTTTTGCAGCACCCATTTAGCAAACTCTTCATCCTGATTGGTCAATGCTTTACTTATAACCAATCAGTACACAGTAACTGTTAGTAATCTTAATATGCTAGCATTTTAAGCAAAACGTGTGTTTGCATGAAATTTTTATTCAATTATACCACCGATATCGAACGCAATTTCATGGTACATATGTTTTAATGACATTTTATTTCGGGCCATAATTTTATATATAACTGTTTCCAGAATATTTTCGAAATATCAAAATTATACATTCCAGTGTTTATTGCTGCCGCGTATATTTCAATGAACGATAATGCCGTTCATCTGTATGTACACGTATAATACTTCGATTATATAGAAATTATACACATATACTTTTAACATATTAAATATACAATTATAATTAAATAAGTTTTGTCATATAAAGAATAAGCACATGTATTTTTTATTTTAAATAACAAAATGATGTAAACAACTTAATTCTATAATACTTAAAACAATACTTTTACTCAACATATTCAGAAATATCTTATATAAAAACATTTTAACATAGTACTTGTCTTACAAATAAAAACTGCAACTTTTATTACCGCGGTTATTTATAAACCATACTCTGAATCAAATGATCCAACTACATATGCTACAACTGTTGCATGATCTAATTTTCCAGGAATCATGGAAACCTTGTCCAATGTTTCTTTTCGCAGAGTTCTTTGTTCTTGTTTGGAAAGTTGAACTAATTGACCATCTTTACTTTGTGCATAATATAAATCGGTATCTTCCAATATTCGTCTTTTGGCAGCAGTTATACGCACCTTATTATAAAAAAATTAAACTCATGTTAATATTTAAAAACAGTATTTTATTATATTTGGTACCTATTAATTTCATGTATCTAAGTGTAGAAACTTGAAATATTACATGCACACTATTAGTGGATTCTAATTAAACTTGAGAAAACTTACAGCAAAGTCCAAAAGAAGTTTGCAAAGATGTTTGGCACTGTTACATGGTGGACCTTCACCAGATACACCTCTTCGTAACAAATCTTCCATTCTAAGTAGAGTTAGTTCGTGTCTTTGATAAGCCTCGACTACAGGCAAATTAGATTTATTTCTATTACTATTGCCGGATTCTGTATGTCTTAAGGTCTCTACAGATTTTCGACGAGTTTTCGATCTTCCTTCAGCATGATTTTTCACTGTTGAATCAGGTATACTATTATGGCATGGCAAGATAGCAAATTTTCCGACTACAGGATCAAAATTGTCTGAAATTCCGTCACTGGTTAAGAATACGATATCTCCGTTTTCAACTTCTGTCATTGCAAGCGTCAAATTATTTAATTCAGGATTGCATCCATCTACAGGACCTAAAGCTCCAAGAGCATCACGCATATCGCGCATACAATGAATATCGTGAGATCCTCTGGTTATTTCTCTTACTCCAGTTTTCCTGTTAATATTACCATATTACTTTTATAAAAAGGCTGTAATAGTTATTAACAAATTATTTTTGGTACCTTGAATATACATAAGCTAAACTGTCTCCAACATTACAGGTACAAGCCACATATTTTTTCTGATTTGTATTAGATTCAGAATTTGGCAGTGGAAGAACTGCGCATACAGTTAATGTTGTGAGCATTCCTTGCTCTTGTAAAATTAACGAATGTGCAGCATGGAATGAACGAAGTAAGGCTATAAATACATCTTTCGTTGTTGTTATTTCATTATTAACCGAAGGACAGAAGAGTGCATTATTCAAGTATTCCATACTTCCATGTACAGCAGATCTAGCTGCAATACTTGCTTTGGTACCTATTAAATTTATGTTTCTCTATATGTGATGTTGTTTGTGATTACAATGTATAAAAAGATATCCTTGAAAGTTAAACATACCCCAATTAACACCATCCGCAAGTGCTAAAATAGCTGAGTTTGATCTTACTACAATTCCAAAACAGTCTGCGATAGGTTCCCCATTATTTGTATCATTTGTAGGATTTTTCTCATATAACGTAGTAGCAATTCCATACGCTGTCTCGTGAGGAATAAACCAATCAGAAATACCAGCAATTGTAGGAGTTGTGGTTGTGGACGCTGTAAAAAGTAGTTTTATCATTTCTATATTGTTTATCCAGAATCCAATAATTTTAATACTTACTGTTTCTATATTGTTCACCTTGATCTAACATATCAATGTAATCTATGTCGATGTCATTAATACTTAAATGTTTTTGTTGCACATTAACTGCTATGAGTCCATTGTCGGGACCAGTGTGGGCAGCAAATACTTCTTTATCTTCTTGGAAGCTTCCAAGCTGTCTAATTGGCAGTTCTTCTGGATTTCTACCATGCACAATTGCTGGTCCTTCCTGCTTTGTTTCTAGACTAAAAATATAATTTAAATGCTACACTTGCATATAAAATTTTTTTGCTTGAAGAATTTTTATATAAACATATATTACCCATCTAAGTATCTGGTAATAAAGCAACCACTTGCAAAATCTTGTGTCATTGATCTAGGGCTACGCAAGGTTTGTTCTCCTTGACCTATATTTTCTACAGCTCCTGCCAAATAATGCCGCATAAAGCCAGCAACCTTTTTTCTTAAGCTTGGCATTCTTTGTATGAAATTAAATTCAAATACAGGTAAAAAGTTGATCAATATCAGTTGTTATAAAATATGACATTATAAAATGGTTGACACTTATTAATGATTCAAACCGTGACCTTAATTTGGAAAATGCATTCTTCTTTAAACCTTAATAAAGAAAAGAGAAAACATATAAGTATATTTTATATTCTCACTATTGTTTATTTTACATAGTTCCTTTAGTTTATTATACTTCTATCACCAATGAATGAATTTAAAAGAAAACCATTTTTGTTTATTTGTGTACAAAATAACATAAGAGAATATACAATACAAAATTATGTTTATAAAGAAGTGTCTAACTTTTTGAATTTTAGATTTGCATTTTAAATCAGCTTCTTTGATATCCGACAATCCTTTAATTCTAGGATCAAACGTATGTAATTACAATTCTGTAATACGAAATAATGGTTATGTTTATCAAAATGAACGTACTTAAAAATGATCTATACATAACTTTTATAAACTTACCTACAAAAAATTCTTACAATACAGGGATGACATCGTAATCCACATTGAAAAGCACATCGTTTTCCACTTTACCGCCATATTGATAATATGTTAATAACTGATGAATTCCCGTAAAAGTAGAATTAAAACTTCAATCTGTTACTTTAAATGAGAAAATTTCATTCATTATTGGAAAGTGTCACTAGTTTCTTATATAAAAATAATTCGAATGATAAATTCTTTTTATCAGAACAATGCAAATTTTTAATTTCCTTAACATTGAGGTACGTGTCACTGACAAAACTATTACAATGTATACATGTATACAACGCAATACAGTTAGCACTATTATTCCCACAGTTAAATTTCGATTGATATTTTTGTTTATTTTCTAATGTGTAATGTATTTACAATAATAGACTGATTCTACAGTAGACTTATCCTACAATGTGCATTCAAGTCAAGTAGACTTTTGGTCTGTTTAAACATTTGGCAAGTCAATGGTCAATATGGCGTTCTCTCCACAGGTGAGAGACTATGATTTTCCGCGGTTGTTTTTAGAATTGTGAATCAGTGCTATGCATTTTCAAAAGGATTTATAGAAAAATTTAATCATCTTCTTGAAATTCTTGCGATTAAATGATGATAAACATTAATGTGTTACAACGAAGTTTGCAGTTTTATCATTTTCTCTCAATATGTGGTATAAGCAATGTGCTTACAATTAGATGCATAGTGACACAAATATTTATTCCATTTTGTGAAGTTGTCATTATGTAATCATTAGACAACGAATGTTTATGTAAATTCATACCTTTATAAATTAATTTGCGGAAAATAGAGTTCGACGGAGTTTTAATTTTTTCTTTCATTATGTTAAAAATAAAATATGATTTTATCATATACTACTGAAATTCTTGCTTTATTGTGCTTGGTATATTCATACACGTACATAAAACATATATGATTGCAAGTTATTTCCAAAGTGCAGTTGTTCGTTTCAAGTAATAAGTATATGAGCTGTCATTCAAATTAGAATATTTGGTCTCATAACATATGTGTGTCTGATATGGAGAAGCCATTGCATCAACTTTAATGGTATCTATTTGTTATGACAGATCCATTGAAATAAATGTAAAACAATGAAATGCTAGACAAGTGGAAGCAGTTAAATATTTAAGAAGGCAATAAAAGAAAAACAAGAAGACTTGCATGTGTGAACAAAAATAGAAGATGTTTGAGTCTCCTAGAAGTCTGTGTGAGGTTTGCATTGATTTTATTTGTGACAATATTTTGAATGTATGTGTCGTAAGCACAGGTTCAGTGGAGTCACCTTCTTGCAGTAAGTACCATCGACTACATGTTTTTTTAATAAATTATTTATTACATTGGTACAATTAAATGCAATTATTTAAAATTTGTTATTAAATCATTGTTATTCATTATTAGACCAGCAAACTGAATCCTCTGTGAATAATAGTAACACAGATATTTTGGCTAATACTGCATTATTGCCTAAAACATCTAATGATGCATCATCAAGCTCAGCAACAAGACTTAGTTTTAAGCGTCCAGATATTTTTATACCTGCTGAAATTTCAGAATTACTATTATCTAATCTCTGCGAAAGAAAAGCATTATGTGATGAGACCATAACACTTTTTGATTCAAAATCCACTAGATTAAGGTAAATTACATCTAATCTTATTAAACTACAAGAAATATTTATTATGAAAAAGAATGAAAATAAAATATTAATTGTTCTGATTAATTCTTCTAGATGTGTGCAGTTAAAAGATGCATCTGTATTATCAGCAAAAGGCTTGAAAGTTTTAAAGCAACATAAAGTTCAAGAGTTAGTAGTAAATGGATTAACGATAACAATTAATGATCTCATAAGCTGTTTAGGTGATTGGAGTTTACAAAATCTTAGGTCATTGAGTATAGCAAGAGGAAGTTTTTTGGACTGTTCACGGTATTTAATATGTATTATTTTTGAAACAATACTAACAGGGGAACATAGTGAAGTAACATCTGTTTATTTATATAAAACAAAAATTTCAATTTGTATATATTCTGTATTTACATATACACAAGTATACAACAGAACATATTAATATTTGATTACAAAAAAATTAACGAACAAACACTTCTTTTTTTAATCTTTATTTAAGATAGTACTTTTAAAGATATTTCATATTAAAAGTTGATAAAAATTGGCAGATGTCATTTCAGTATATTTTCTTGTAAATAAAATATTTTCTTTATGTACAATGATATTGATGGTATGCATATACATATAATATTGCAGGTATTGTCTGCTAGTAACACTAAGTAAATTAAAAGCATTGACTTCATTAAATGTGTCTGGAACAAATTTTAATCAACATGGTTTGGAAATAGTGGTTGACGACCTTCCCCTTTTAGAAAATATAAATATCTCTTGTACAAACGTTGATGATATAACACCATTAAAAAAATGTAAAAATCGGTTGAAAACTCTTTACATGTATAACTTGAAGATAAATAAAAGTGCAAATTTAGTCTCAGTATTATTGGAATTAAATGAATTAAGGCATTTAGACATTTCGGACGAAAAGGAAGTGTTTAATTCAGTTAACCCTGTGTTTAATGCCTGCTTTAGAAAACCAGAACTAACACGTCTCTTAAAAGCTGTAGACTGTATGCCATATTTAATTAGTTTAGATTTATCTGGTAGGTATTACATGATTTTGTTCAATTTGTTCTATTTATTTTGAATAAATATAAATTTTTGCTTTATATTTTCTATAGGTAAAGGAGATATAGATTTAATATACTTGAAAAAATTTATCAATGCTCATCCACATTTAAGGTTTTTGGGACTTGTTGCTACACTTGCTTGCTACGAGGATAGTTTAACAAATTTTACAAATAAGGATTACAGACCTGAACTTGTTGTAAGATATAATATCATTAATATTATAGATTGATATTCGTAAATAATATTTGATTAATTGCAGAACTATTTTTGTTATTTTTAATAATAATTTTTTTATATATAATGTATGTATAATATAATATGTAATATCTTTTATTGTAGGTTAGTGGTACAGCTTCAGAAGCTCAGATTTTGGAAGCTCTTAGAAGGTATACGTGTAGGCCACTTTATCTTCAGAAATGTTTACTTAATTTATTCCGTTTAACACATAATTTCCTTGAACCACGAGTCGATGTCATAAAGTTGGTGTTAAATGGTATGAGAGAACATCCACACGAAGGTCGTGTACAACTACCTTGTACAGCATGTCTTTATAATCTTTCCAAAGGTGAATTTGGTATTATGATTCACCCATCTATACTTAAACAAGTTGTTGAATTAACAATGGTAGCGATGGAATCTTATCCAACCAATTATCGACTATACATGAATACGCTGCTAATATTATGTAGCGATAGAATTCTACAAGATGTTGCTTTCGATAAATACAGGTGCGAATATGATAATAATTTTTATATAATTACATGTTTAAATTCCAATAAATGATATAACTAATATAAGACAAGGTTAATTGTAAGTGAGTGTACCTTGAGTCACTTTTTTAACAATATATGAATATTGGAATTTTAATGTACATTGTACTTGTAGTAACAAATTGTAATTTAATTGCTCCTTGTTTTTATAGGTGTGCACAATTAGTGATGAATTCCCTGTTAACTTTTAATGAACCATTAATGACTCGCATGTCTGTTGCTATTACCTCAGTTTTAGCATCAAAGATAACGCCAGTAGAAACATCTATGCTTGCAGCTCAACCACAATACATGTCTAAATTACTTGCAATAATTAGGTCTAAGGTCGAATCTAAATCAGTAGATATAACGATGAAATTTACGTTAAGTGCACTGTGGAATTTAACTGATGAAAGTGCTACAACATGTGCAATTTTTCTGGCAGAAGGTGGAATGGAGTTGTTCCTTGAAATGCTTGAAAATTTTCAGGGCTTGCCTAGCGTTGATACTAAAGTATTAGGTTTGATAAATAATATAGCAGAGGTTTGTATATTTATTTGTTACAGTATGAAAATAAAACAAAGTAACATGAAATGTAATTTTATTGTAGATTAGTTATCTGAGACCCAAGCTGATGGAACATAAATTCATCTCTATGCTTCCTATATTGTTGGTCTCCACACACATCGACGTATCTTATTTCGCGGCAGGCATTACTGCACATCTGCTTAGCGATGGTCCAAGTTTATGGTGTTCGAAAAATTTGCAACAAAACAGAGAGCAATTGTTACAGCTTTTGGCTCACACTGTGACTCACTGGCGAACTCCTCAAGGAGAAATGGTTGCTTATAGAAGTTTTCAACCATTCTTCCCCCTTTTACGTTGTTCAGATACTCCAGTTCGACTGTGGGCAGTTTGGGCAATACAACATGTAATTACAAAAAATCGTAAGTATATTTGACGTTTTGACAACTATTAATTGTTACAGATGTTTCCAGCAATGTAATTTCTTTTACTACACTGAAACAGATTGTAACCGTTGCCTTATTTCCAAATTCTTATTATTTGTAGCGAAACATTACTGCAGCATGTTAATCAGAGAAGAAGGGGTAGAAATCTTAAAAAGCCTGGAAACGTCAAATACACATGTACAAAATTTACGGCAATCAATCCTTGAAATGATTGAATTAAATTCTGAATAATGACTATTGCCTTCCACAACAAAATTTGCGTACCATGGAGTTGGTATACTAGTCAATGTTTATATCTATGCACTCTTATATCCTGTCCTTTAGACCAAATAATTGAAATCATTATATGATCATGGAAAATTATCAAAAGTGGATTAAAAAGTGAAGTAACAAATCCAGAATATTACTATTAAATTCT